CTTTTAAAATTAAAATTAACACATTATACCTGTTTGCCTAGATGTCCCATTTTACCCCTCCTACGGGGTAAAAAGGACCAGGTGACAAATTTTTGAAAGAAACCCGTTTTTTAAATAATAAATCAATTATCTGGGAGTTTTACTGAACATAGTCAGATAGTTGTTTGTTTCATATATGTAATTTGTTGTAATATTTAATTGGTTTTCATAATATAATTGCCCAAAGTCAAAATGGACCTTTGTGCCCCGCTTTACACTATGCATATTACAATATTAAACATAACATATGTATTACTGAAGTGTTAGGAAATAAATTCCAAAAATATACGAAAATGCAAAACAAGAAATAAAAATAGAAAATTGTTTTTGTTTCTTTAGGCAATTGTTTTTGTGTTTGAGAATTTTATGAAATTATTTATTTTGTAGCATTTAATTAAAATGAATTGGAAATACATTCATTTATTATTAAATTTATTTAAAATAATCATGTAAATAATTCTGAAAGATTTAAGTAAAAGTAATATATTATACATTTATATATAAAAACTAAAAATAATCACAAGCAAAAAAATTATATTATTTATTTTATTGCATTTATTAAAAATGGTCCTATACTTTATTAAAATTTTTGGCAATATGCAATATAAAAACTAATTCAGAATAATATTCAATATAAAAACGCAATCAGAAATACATAAAGATTCCTATGAGCTAAATTGACAACATTTAAGAACGATGCCTAAGAAAAAAAATAATGAAAGCACTCATTTTTATGATGATAAATAAAAAAATAAATTTAAACGATAATAATAATAATCTTACTTCCATTGCAATTTTTGTCTATAGAAAACAATGGCATAAAATTACAAGTTCAGACAAGATTTGAAAGAACTAAACCGTAGAAAACAAGAAATAGTATAAAATATGTCACGCCTGTTACTAACCAGGTAATATTAGTTGATATTGTAAAAAATTTGATGAAAATAAGAACTTAGAATGATTATAATTATTTACAGAATATTAGCAACAATAATATTTTTCATATTTGTTTAAATGAAAATTTTGAGCATTGTCTGAATATATTTTGAAAGCAAAAGTAGAAAAAATATATCAAAATAACTTTAATACTAAAAAGTTGAAGATTTGATATCAAGAATAAATAAAATAAAAAATGATAAATTCATTTTAGATAAGATAAAGATATTTTATTTTACTTGTTTCATTTGTACCTATTTATTATTATATTTTATTTTACTAAAAATTTAATTTATTACAATGAGCAAAACAGATATAAATGTATATAAACTTTTGTTAATAAATTCAGAAAAATTATTTAAAAAAGAAACATTTTTATTGTTGCCTAACAATAAGTGAAGATTGTTAATAAAATAAATTTGAAAAAAAAATATAATTTTGAAAATATTAATTGTGAAATTTTACTAAAATTACAAAAAAAAAATAATATTCTATAATATATAATAAAAATAATATATAATAAAAAATTGCCGAAAATGTATATAAATGTGGAAAATTCTAATAAAAAAATAATCAGCTGCAAATTATTGCAAATGTGCTGCATTTTTCTTTAATATTGAAATTATTAAGTTTAGAAGTATTCTTTAAAATAAAATAGTAAACTATTTTTGTAAAGATGGCTACAATATTACAGATGTATTATAAATAAAAATTATATATTCGAGTATAAACAATAATATAACTTATAATATTAGTAATAAGTTAGTAAAAATAATTGTTTTCTACGTAACATACTCGAACTGACGCATAATTATATTATTAAATTTTTTTAGATAGAAAAATTAATAAAATCTAATAATCGCTTAAAAAATATCGTAGAATAAATATTTTAATTTATTTTATTTTTAACTCTGATCAAACTCTATTGCTTTTTAATATTCGAATTAAATTGTTGACTCTGAAAATCTGGGCAAGATTGCATCATAAAATATATTGGCATAAGTAATTCTATTAACTCAACGGCTCTAATAAAATTAGATAAATTATGCGAGCAAAATATCTAATTTAACATAACAACAATATTATTATATTGAATTATGACTTTGTCGATAAATGATTCATTGCAATAATAGCTTATTTGCTAAAATTGGAAGTTGGAATCATCATCAAAAAACCTAACACAGATATTTGGACTTATGAAACTTATACCCTTCTGAAACTGATGAAATAAATATAATTTAAAACTATAGGCATAAATTTTTCAAAAAAAAAAAAACAAATTTCGAAAAATAAATTCCTACAATTTAAACTTTTTTATATTGCATTAAACATAATCAAAAATAAAATAATACTATTGAAATTCATTTTATCTTTTGAGCTAAAATATAAAAATAGAAATGCCGGTACTAAAAAGATGCCATTTTAAATAAATTGTAATTTGCAGAAAATTATTCAAATAGTTGAACAATTCTAAATACTAATATGCTTTCTGATTATTTAATCTAATGTAGAAGTATAAAAAATGCCGGTATGGAAAAATTAGTGAAATTTGTTCTCACAAACTTATCAGAAATAAAACAATAAATAAATCAAATAATTTGAAACATATTACTAAATATTTCATCACTGATCTACTAAAAAGATTAAAGCAAAGGTATATATCATGTTTCCAGATTTTTTGCAAAAACTGCAAAATATTAAATTATTGAATTTCTTACTAAAATATATTTATTTTTAGTGTTTAGAATATTCTACTGATTATTATTGAATTTAGATACTTTTTGTAATAATTTGCAACTTTCAAGTATACATACAGATAAGAATAACAAAAGTTGCATCATATTCTGCAGAAATTTTCAATATATCAAAAATTATGACTCAGTTTAAAGATAAAAATAGATAAATAGTTTATTTATTTCTCGTTTATAAATTGTGAAAAATTGTATAATATTAATTTATTTCGGAACTTTGTGCTTCAATTTATTTTAGAAAAATTGTACCACAGAATAATACGATGGTCATTATCGAAGGTAGAAATAAAAATAAATTTATATCATATTTCCGGACTTTTTGCAAAAACTGCAAAAAGTTAAATTATTGAATTTCTTTCTAAAATATATTTATTTTTAGTGTTTAGAATATTCCACTGGCTATTGAATTTAAATACTTTTTGTAAAAATACTATTTATAATAATTTGCATCTTTCAAGTATACATGACTACAAGAGTAAGAAAAATTGCAGAAATTTCAAATATATCAAAAATGGTAAATCAGACCGAAGATAAAAATGTATATATAGTTCATTTATTTGTTGGTAATTAAATTGTGAATGATTATATCATATTAATTTATTTCGGATTTTTGTGCTTCAATTTATTGTAGAAGAATTGTACCACAGAATAATATCATAGTCACTATCTCAGGTAGAAATGAAAATAATTTTATGTTTTCCATATTTTTGCAGAAACTGCAACAAATTAAATTATTGATTTTTTTACTAAAATATAATTATTTTTAGTGTTTGGATTAATACACTGATTATTATGGAATTTAAATACTATTTGTAATAACTTGCAAGAATCGAGTATACATAAAGGCAAGAGTAACAAAAATTGCATCACTAATATATCAAAAATGGTGAACCGGCTCAAAGATAAAAATGGATACATAGTTTATTTAATTTTTCGCGATTAAATTGTGAAAAATTATAAGTTTTTTCGGATTTTTGTATTTTATTACATTCAAGTAAATAGACATCACAACATCTCAAAGATGTTCTGAGCGCTGTTAATAAAAAATAAAATAGAAAATAATATTCATGAAAATATATTCAAGAATGCACAAATAAGTTATAGACACAATGTATAAAATATTACGGAAATTTTGTAATTTTAGACATTTTGACAAAAATTTGTTTTTGGGGTTTTCGTGTATAAATTGTTTGACCAGGTACATAATTATATAATAGGATTAAAATGATAATGTTAAGAAGTGTTTACATACTTCATTATAACAAGTTCAGCCACACGAGAACAAATAGGTATTATGAAATGAAGGATTAAGACCAGCACTCGACTACCTGAAAATGTGGAATTTTTGTCTTTTTCTCAAGACTTCATTTTCAAAATCATCATTGTACCATTTTGTTTGTCTTCAATAGTATATTGTTAGATTTTTTGGTCAATATAACTCACGTTCTGAACTTACAGTACACAAACGCCGACGGTAAAAAACAAAATTTAATGTCTAAAATTTCTACTTAAAAATAATTTTGAAGACAAATTATAAAATTTTACCACTGCCAAAAAAATTTGTTTTTGGAACACATAAAATGTTGACGCAGTAAATAACAAAATGAACATGAACAAATAATAATATTTTTACAAAATTTTATTTTCATTCATAATTCATTGAACTGACTTACTGCATTAGCATATGTGTATTTTTAAAAGCCATACAGGTAAAAATAGGTATCCTCACTAATAATGAAAAACACTGATAATACTCTCTTAAAGAGACTTCACTTTGAACAAAATTTGTGATGCGATAATAAAATTTCACAGGATAAATTAAATCCTTTGAATATACATTTTCTGAATGTACACACAAAGTAATTAAAACTAAAAATAACCACAAGCAAAAATAATTAAAAAACAAAAAAATTGAAAAAAAAATCTGCATATACTCTCTTTTTGACAAACAAAATGGCACTGAACCGGGCTGCTAGAGGTTCCACCGTGGACTGCTACGAATTTTCCTGAACCGGCTTGCACAACCAATCAAGTCAGCCTCTTGAACTCCATACATTTTCGCGGACTTCCATTGCAATCACCGAACTCTATTTCTCGGTCACACCAATTCGTGCTACACGAACATTGCCGAGCGGAATCGATTCCTGGTCACGTAGGCCCTCATCTGAACAATGAGTGCGAATAAGAAAACACGATGGCGTGATAAAGATAAAGAGAGGGGGAGGAGCGTGAAATCTATATAAACCTGGTCACGTCAAAGCCGGCTTCAGTCCACGGAAAACAGTCATACGAGAAAGATCTATTAATATTTAACACACACAAAGACTTACAAATGTTATTACAAATGTCATACTGACATATTTAAATATAGATATATATCGTCGTTTTTATAATTATAAATATTAAATATATTATATAGATGTTCGTATGATTTAGTTTTTAAAGTTTATATTATATATTCTGTTGTCGCCGGCTATAAGTATATAGAACGAGCGAAAAAGACAGAACATAGTTTCTTGTTGCGATCAGCTGTGATTTTATATAAAATAGTCCAAAGTGTTTGAGCAAAAGAAGATATTGATAGATATTATGGAAGTGTTGTCTGTGAATCAGTTCAATGGGCAGTTCACGTTTGGAAACGGTGTTAAAGGAGGTGAGTCTTTAAATTTTAATTTTTTATCATTTTAAAAAAATTCACTATCTTGTAGTTAGATTACACCGATTTATATTGGTTAGTGCCGGTCTTCTAGCTTTCCAAGATAGTTCATGTAAAAATCTTCAAAACTATCAGACTTGGCTTTTTAACTAGCAGGGGAAAAGTATCACTTGAAAAATAATTTTGGTAGTAAAAAAATTTAAAATGTTCAAAATTTTTAAAAAACTAAAAATATTAAAAATGTTAAAAATATTAAAAATGTGATAAATTTGAATGTTAAAAATGTTAAATGTTGAAAATATTAAAAATATTTTTTAATCTGCTAGCTAACAAGCAAAATCTGAGTTCACAAAAAATTACATTTTTTTTTTAAACTAACAAATTAAAAATTAAAAACTAAGTACTAAAGACCTGTACTAACCAAAAATTCACCATTCAATTCCCCCTTAAAATTAATTTCAAAACGCCGGTAAATTTTCTTCTCGATCGTCCCATTTTCAAGTAAAAATCATTTACTATCAGTCATCTATCTACAAGTCCCTACAAGCTTTCCAAGGTAGTTTTTGTTAACTCATCTATATGTATTGTGTATTTTCAATGTGTGTTGGTATATATTAACTGAGTACACTTTCACGACCGGTTTTATCATACTACACCAACACATTGGCCGCCGCGTATAGAAAATACATTTGTGTGTAAAATCAGTAAAACAACAGCCAGCAAAGCGCTTTTGCAATTAAAGAAGTATTGAAAAGTCGGCAAAAGGAAAATAAATGTCAAAAGTCATTGCACTTGATGGAAATAGTAATGGGAGGAAAGAAAGTTATTGGGTTAGTTTGATAATAAGATAATAAGAGTTTTTTTTGTTTTATATAAATTGCTTAGATATGGTTTATAAGAAGGTTTGAGTATGTTTTTCTACAAAAACCGGTTTCGACCAAAAATTGTATCAATAAAAATGCATATGCATATTGGCGAGCGATAACTGCACTCGTTATCAATGCACTTATCCCCGCTCCAAAAGTAGGCTTGTTTGTTTATTAAAAAAAATCTAATCAAACACATCGTGCTAAATTAGTTTGCAAACTAATTATCTCCTCTATATGTCGCCATGGACATATCCATTTATTATCCATGTGTGTGAGAATTTGAATACACAACTTTGTCTATTTACTTCGGTTTGCGTTTGTGTTTGTGCGAACAGATGATTACACATCTGGAAAGTTTGAATGTGTTTGTGCGAGCATTATCATGAAAATATACATGTACATTTTGAAGCCTTGTATAAACCTGAATGTATGTGTTGGAACCGGTTAGGTCTTGTTGCCAAGCGAGAAAGATTTGAGCCTGCGCGCTGGGGAGCTTCTCTTTTGTTTCAACACACACAGAATATAGATACACATTTAGATGTGTTTGATTTTAAAATTGTGCTTCCATTGTTTACTGTTGACTTTGATTTAATACAGCTGCTTTCGATTGATAACACAATTCATTTACATTTTAAATTTTTTTTCGATTTTTTTGAAAATTTTTTTTGGCAGTATCATAGACTTATGATTTTACAACGCTTCAACACTAATCGAGTTTTGGTGTAACTGCAATTAAAATTTTATGGTACGTAACGATCTACATATGCAAAAACAATTTCCTTTATCATCGAGAATCTTATCTCAAATGATTGTCATTTACATCTTCGATCTCTCAGGTCAACAATAACTGCATTGAACCACAATTGATAAGATAGTTACCCGAGTACATTATGATAATGTGCAGTTAGGTTTTGCAATAACTTGAGGCCTTCGCTCCGTTGATATGCCGTCGCAAGCGTCTTTGCTGACTAAGGACTATTGCGTTATGTCTAGCAATTTTAAATTGGGTCTGCACGACTTTAAAAATAAATACATTTTATATATTTTTTTAATAGACACGTGCGTTTTATGGCACGTGCGCGATTATTTGACAGAAATCGAGCAGTCGCAATGATGTAACCCGGTCGGTCGGAAATGATAATGATCGCACCATTTATATAAATTTGACCGATGCAACTTCGCTTATGAAGCAAATTGCTGAGGGGGAATTGAAATACATAACAGATTGCCTTCGCAACTTGAATTCCTAGAAGTAATCATGATCAACAACTAAATGAGTGTTCTTGTTTCCTTTACCAGGTTGGTCTAGTACCGCTCCTCAGCACTCGGAAGAAACAAGCCAGGAAGACTCTCTGAGCACGAATCCTCAGTCCTTCCTGGCCAGGAATTTGGCCAGGGAACTTCGCTCAGCTAAGCAGAACCATCTTGCCTGTTCTGAAGTCCTTCTCCCTAGTGATTTGTTACATCGCGCTGCTAGCGAAATAGTCAAAGCCAGCGAGTGCGAGCCCTGCGGTGTCAGAGGGTGCACGATTTACGTCGAATTCGAACCGTCTTCGGGAAGCAATTCTAGCGCAAATAACTCAAATGATAAGAAATCGCAAAAGAAAGTCATCGCTTGCTTGAGACCGGACGAATCGACGGTGTCCACATTCGAGCTCTATCTGACTCTCAAACAAGAGAACGGATGGACGGATAGGCTGCCCCAGTTTTTGAAGTGAGTATCTTTTCAAACATCATTATCCATTATTCCATTATCTATCTATCATTCATAGCGCATTTGGAGCATTTTCAATTATTAATGTTACTAACCCTTACCTTTTCTTTATTTCCAGAAACCTAACGCGGGGCGGAACGGTCGTGATCAGCCCGGACTTCACACTGAGCAAGACACTGCTCTACCGTTCTTACCGGGACTCGTAAGTTGAAGAAACCATCCAAAAATAATATAAAACAAATTATATTACTTACATCATAAAATATAATACACACGACTGTATCAAGTGTACCTGCGTGCAGCAATTTAAGAAGCGGCACTTAAACTCTCGTGTCTAACATGAGGGAATCAAATTTAAAATAACATTAAAAAAAAGCTCAAATGAGTATTGAGAACTCAGATGAGAAGAGCCAGAAGCGCGAAATGAAAAAACTAATATTCATATGATAATATCTGTACGGGTGTGCCGTATTTCATCCATAAAATTCATTTCCACGCGACAACACATTCTATTTATTTATTATAAACGCAACTTTGCACATCACCATTTCTGACATTTTTCTTATAAACTTTCATATCTTTAATTTTATTTTTCCACAAAAGATGCATAGCATTTTGCGAAAATTTAATTAAAACATTTACGGCACACCCTTTCTGTAGGTTAGGATTTTTTAAAAGTGATTTTGTTCTGTGAACAAAACTCAGAATCAACGAGTTTTTGCTAAGATATCAAAAGAGTCGATTTTTTGAAAATAATATTTTCAAAAAATTTAATTGTAATAATGATGATACGTGTGGACACAACACCTTTTTTGTGATAATATTATTATAATTATTATTGACTTTTTAATAATCTCGTTAAAGAGTTTTTGTTGATATATATTAACATTATTAATATCTATACGTGTATATCATATTTTTTCGTCTTCATTTTCTCATCTTCAATTGAAGAAGATAAGTGTAATCATTTTTTTTCGGTAACAGATATGTGTTATTAATTGCTGTAGATTATTAATAAGATTTTTGAGATACGAAAGTTTTAAGAAGAGAAAATAAAAATAAAAATCGATTTATATTATTATATATATTTTATAAAATGCTAATGATAATAATGAATAAAAAAGCAAGCGTGATCTATTTAAAAATAAAAACCTCGGGACTCAACTTTTTCACTTGTCTTGAAAAGTCGAAACTTTTCACCGTTACGTTGTCATTAATAATCGATTATTTTTGAAATTTGGCTATTTTCTAATATTTAAACCGTATTTTTCAAGGCAGGTGCGAAAGCATAAATTGAGTACCCGTTGGCAAAGTATTATTGTTAAGGTTAAGCGTACTAGTGATACAGCTCGAAGCGTGTTTGGCAACATAAAAATTAATAAACTATTTAATTAGTTTATTAATTATTATGCACCAAACACGAAATGATACAAAAAACCACAATTTTAGTCGTTAAGCGTCGTGCGAAAGGGGGAGTATAAAAGCGTGTGAATTTTTTAAAAGTTTTCGAATGTGATTGAGAGTGAAGAATTTTGGAATTTTAAAGAAATTCATGTTTTAGCTACAGAATTACATCAGAGTACCAAAAACACGCCGAATCCTGGATTTCTTAAAATTTCAAAATAATATTTTAGCGATAACAGCAACAAATATAAAAATGCGCCCAATACAAAATTAATTCGTATTTTAAAATTTTATGTAAAGCTTTCGTTCGAAATTAGATTGTATGTTTAGAACGAAGTAGTTGAAACATTTACCATATATAAGGACCACCGATAGTTTTTCATATAGGTATAAATATTTAGGAGTTTTGAAATTGATTTGCCGGTTTATACATACAAACTAATTCCGAAAAGGGCTTCAAACTTTCGCAGTTCATGGGCGTAGGTGATATAAAAGCACTGTGTTATATTAAGGGGCAAACTAGCGGTCATTTTCAATAAATTATGAGTTACAATTAAAAATCCATTTCTTAGGTCTTACTCCACTTTAGAGGTCCAATTTGGTTATAACTTATTTCTATGTATTTTTTTTCAAAATTTTCAACATCCAAATGTGAATTTGATATTTTTTGATCTCTACTTTCTCAGGAGAGTTCCAAAGGAATGAGAAAATGACCGCACCCTAAACTATTTTTTTAATTTTTTTAACGAAATTGAAACAACATATTCGTAGCGATTTAGTAGACGTATTAATGTCGAAGTAATTCTCTATTTTTGGTGTATGATCTAATTGTATTAACTCTGCATTTTGTATGTTTGCTTATATAGTACTATTTTAAAATCATAATTAAACATAAAATAAATTTTAACAAAGTTTTGACGAGTTCAACCATGTTTTAACGTAATTTTAATTTATTGTATAATTTTATCTACGCATATAATATATATTAATAGATGTATAGGATTTAAAACAAAAAGATCTCGATTTTATTAGTACTCTGTCTTAGATTTCAAATATTTTGCGTACAATAAATGTTATAATTTTGTATATATTTCTTTCTCTTGTAATATTTAAGTTTTTTCTCTCTAGGATTTTAAGTGATGAACGTATATATGAATATATAAAATTATATTAGAGTATAACAAGTTATACACAGACAAAAGTGTTGTGTAACTTTCAATGTCAAATTACTGTGTACTAATTTTTACAAAATATATCAAATGCATATAAGCGGTTAGAAGATATACGTGAAAACAATAAAAAAGTGACCGAAGATGATACTATCCTTTACTACGATTATTGTAAAAATAAAAAATCAGAAATTTTTGGTTTATATTGAAACTATGGATTGTGCATTTAATGCTTATCTAAAAAAGGTTTGAACAAAAATAGTGATTCTAGACTTATATAAATTTGGCTGTGTTGTGGTTTCCATCATATTTAACCTTGATTTAATTAAGCAACAGAATTAGAAGCAAACAATGCACAGTCCCTGGCTAAAATATAAACTGAGTTTTGTAAAAAATAACACTTTCAATCAGTATTCAATAATTAATAATAAAAATATATAAGTAATCGTATGTACAAGTAAGAGGAATTATCTGGTCATTTTCGGTCCAAATGAAAAAAAAATCTTTTTATCTACTTATAAGAAACAAAAAATATACATATGACAAGAAACTTTACAAAAAAAATATTAAGGAAACAATTTCTAGCGAGTTGCTGTTAGTGATCACCAACGTATTTGTGCAAAATATTTCAAAATCACCATTTTTTTTTAATATTTTGCACACTTACGAAGGAAAAACACGAATTTTGGTGTCTATAACCTTCTATAATAAAGGCTCGTTTCACATTAGATTAAACAATTTACTACATTTCGGTCTATATGCTGTATTCACCATAAAAATTAATTTCAACTTTGTCCAAATTTTATTCGGCACCAAAATTTTTTCATGTGTTTTCTTTTATCGCTGTAGATATATTTGTGAAATTATTGAAATGAAACTTTTTGGCCTGAGGAACGATGTGAATTTGATATGATTAGTTTTACAAAAATCGAAAAATATTATATATACATAACATTTATTAATAATTACTGTGTATAATGTTCTTTGTATTACTTGTGATAATAATTAATAGAAGAGAGATTTGAAAAAATATCATGTGAAAAAATTAATAAAAAACAAAAATTATATATATATTATACTTTAATCGCAATAAAAGATTACATTTTTTATATGGAAGAATTACATGTGTGTTTTATTTTATTTTAAGTATTTTTTAATTAACTCAAGCATTTTTAAATATTTTTGTTTTTCATGAAACAAAATATGTTTTATTTAAAATTCACTCACTGCAATAATTTAAATACAAGAATTTGAACAATAATGATAAACAACTCAATTTAAAAGTATTAACAACAAAAAGTGAGAATAATATTCTAACAAGGTTAGTTGCTTTGTGTAACAATTTAAATTTCAGCTAATTTTTTTATGTAAATTTTAACCAGTTTTGTGTCGTCCTAATAGAGCCCATGACGAGTATATCCGTCAGGCTCAGAGTAAGTTGCGTTGGTAAAATATTGGTTAAAAAATATAGGTTTATTTTACAAATTTATAAAAAATATTACTATTTTTTACTTTTCTGGTTAACACAAGCATATATTACTTACTATTAAACCTGTGGTTCCCAATCAGTGGGTCGCGATTCCTCAGGAGAGCGTACAGCTGCTTTCAAAACAATATTTCCTAAAAACAATACCAAAAATGTTGAAATAATGTAAAAAATGAATGAAATAATAAATAATTATTTTTATGTATATTTTGACATAATATTTTATATTGGTTTGTAGACTGATAAATGAATTATGCTATAATAATAGTTCAGTATTCGTAAAGTTAGATTGTTAGAAAAATTATGGGAGGCGTAGTATTATTTTATCAAAAAATGGGGAGCGTGGTACGAAAAGGTTAGAAACCACTGCATATATTATCCTTCGTATTAAACCCGTGGTTCCCAATCAGTGGGAGCGCACAACCCCTCAGGAGAGCGTACAGCTGCTTTCAAAATAATATTTCAGAAAAATAAATCAAAAATGTTGAAATAATGTAAAAAAAATAATGGAATGATAAATAATTATTTTTATATATATTTTGTTGCCTGAATATCAGTTGAGTATTTATAAAATTAGATTGTTGGAAAAATTAAGGGAAATTAGATATATTCTGTTATATTTTATACTGAACACCGGTGACGTGCACTCTTAAATAAATTACATTATTATATTATTTTAAATATATTTAAAATACAAACTAGAATAAAATGTGTTAAATAAATTTAATTACATTATTAATTACATGTGCTATAAGTGTGTTCAAAAATTATTAATTGGTTATCGCATTGATTAGTTTTTAGTAAAAGAAAAAAAATCGAAATAAGCAGTTTAAATTTTATTTAAATAGCTGAATCTTAATTTTTATCGATTAAGTATATTATTTTCACATTACGGAAAGTAAAATTTACCTAAAGGTAAAATGCCACTTGCAACTACGGGGTCCGCCATCTAACTTTTTTTAAAACTCTGTTCTAAAACTTAAGAGTTTTTCTTCTTGTTTACATTATTTTTTCAAAATTATTTTTCATTATTAACCAGAAAGATTTCACTTTCAAACGAAAAAAGAAACTTAAGAAAATATTGACTGGTTTTTTTATAGCATTTTCAAAAAAAAAAAAAAAATTGGCAGACCCTTCATTTATTTTCATAACCATAGCCTCAAAATATTCAAAGCAACTTGACATTTAGGGTTTTTTCAAAAATTGTGATTTTAATTGCAAATGGTCATTGTTTTATATGCATGACGAACATACTCGTCAATGCACAAAATTCTGTCGCTTCTCCATGACGAATATATTCGTCAATCACAGATAACTGGTTAACAGCAATCTGAGCTTAACGAGACCTATGAGCAGATGGTGTTGACATTTTTTTAAACGACGTGGCTCTTTATAGGCTGCAACCCAAACGGTTGTCCTATCTCTATGTGATGAATTCAACAAAGGGTTCGCCATCTAACTTTTTTTTTATTAAATTTCGTTTTAAGAATATGTAGTTCTTCTTTTAGTTTTTGCTTCGTTTTTTAAAATTTCTATTCCATTATTAACCGGAAGGTTCAAAAGATATACTAAATGTCCATATAGGACAGTTGTAAATATATTGTTGAATAAAAAATTAACCGGAAGGATTGTACTTTTAAATAAATAATTTTTACTGAGCTTGAAAATATTTGTCTTTTATAGAATTTTTATAGAATTTAATTTTTTTATGTAATACTGAAGAACATATAACATCTATATTTCTATTATTATTACCTCGAGTATCGATCCTGAAGTCTCTGATTCGAAGTCCCCGAAGCTCTAACCACTAGCTCGCGGGCGAATTTTTTAGCCGAAATAAGAGGAATTTAATATGTTTACAGGGTGATGCATTTCTGCATAAAATATGGCTGATTCGGCCTGATTCTGCAAATGTATGTGCATACGCCGGCATTCATGTATTTTTATGTGCATCGCGCCTTTTTATGTTCATTATGCATCTGTGTGTATGAAACTTGTTTTTACGTGT